GCAGCCCCACCTAGCTGCCCTGATAGTGTCTGAGGCTGGATTTCAACTCCAGTCTTTCGGACTCTAGGCTCCGTGCGATATACACGATGGTGCCCCTAGCTGTCTTGATATACTGTACTCTGGGGTTTTATGAGGTGACCTCTCTTCTGTCTGAGCACTCCTTCCTAGTTCCCTTTGCCAAGTCTTTTCCTGTTCCCACCCTTTAGAGATCAGCATCACCCCGGTTCTCTTCTGGGCCCTCTTCTTGCTCTAGTCTAGTTCACTTGTCTCCTTACCAACGATCATTCCTATGGAGATGATTCACACTCAGATCTATTCCTCTGACCCTAACTTCTCTCCTCATCTCCAGTTAGCCATCTCCAACTACCTATCGTCAGCTCGACCTACCTGTCCAGCAGACACCTGAATTCATCATCTCCTTGACAAGCCCTCGGGTCTCCTAAAGTCTTCCCACTGGCCCAGCTCAGCATCCGAGTTCTCCTGGACTCTTCCCACACTCTCACCCCCCACATACAATCTGCTGCCCAGACCTGTTGTTTCTCTCTTTGTAACATGCCCCCTTCTCTCCTCTGACACTGCCCAACATCCTGGTGTAGGTCCTCAGCTCCTCATACCTGAACTATGAAATAGCCTTGAATGTTGAACTAGGTGCTTTCCCTGCCCCACTCCAGCCCATCCTCTGCTCAGATGTCAAAAGCAAGATGGACAATGTCACACCCTCCCCACTCAGTAAACTCTGGCTGCTCCGCATCGCTTCTAGAATCAAACTGAAATACCTGAGTTCACTTTGAAAGCTTTTCATATCTTCACCCACACCTAGCATCCTAGTCTTTGGGCCCCTCACCTTCTTTCCATATATTCTGATTCAGTGACTGGCCTTGCAGTTCTCAAGCAAGACATTCCGTATCCCAACTCTGGCAGTTTTTGCTGACTGTCCCCTATGCCCAAAATGCTCTCTCTCCTTGCCTCCCCCCTCCCCCAGCCTTCTACAGGAAGCTTCTCCCAACCTCCCTTAATGCTAGTCCCCCCACCTTGATTATCTCCAATTTGCCCTGTATTTGGCTTGTTTACACATAGTTGTTGACCTGTTCTCTCCCCCATTAGGCAGTGAGCTCCTCAAGGGCAGGGGCTTTTACCTTTCTTTGTGCACAATGCCCCAGCTTAATGTTGATTGACTGACTGATCACCTACCTGTGTCCTGTAGGGCGTGTAGGATAATAGAGACCATTAGCCTCCTCTGCTTCATCAGTTTGTCCTTGCCATGACTCCGCATCAGAGGCTTATTGCCAGGGACATCATCAGCTTCTGTCAAATTGCTGGGCAGCCCAACCCCCATGGGCACTCGGAGGAGTCAATAAATAGCTTGCAATAGTGGAGGAACACCAGCTGGTGAGTCAGAAGAGGATTTTATTCCTGGCTTTGCCACTTGCTACCATCCCTTTAAGGCCTCTGGAATAGCAGAGCTGGGAGGCCCTTTGGCCCCCACAGTTCTCTGCCTCCAATATCATTTACCTCCACGGGCAGTACAATGAATTCTAGAACTGGGGCATTGTAAAGGACCTGGGCCCAACCTCAGGCCAGAGCAGGAGCCCCCTACCTACAATATCCCCACAAACTTCATTTTGACCCTCCTTGGGAAAGCCTCCTCAATCCCCTCCAGGTCTCTATCCGCTCCTTGTTTTAGCCTGGTTTCCGATTCTGTTCCAGGACCCATTTTCCTACTTTGCTTTACTTGTCTGCTTGTTTACATGGCATGAGGATTCTATCTTCTACCTGGACAGGAATCCCCAGTGAAGGCAATCCCATGCCTGGGGCCCCAAACCAGGAAGGTTTCCAATAGTGCCATGAAACCCACCCAGCCACAGCCTCAACAGGGAAGAGCAGGAATGATGCCCGTGAGGGTACAGTAGAATGTGGCCTCCCCCAAACTTCATTGGACCTTAGGCTTTCTTAACTGAAACATGTGATCCAGAATGAGAGACACCTGCTCAATCTGCCCCGCTCGGGCCTCGTCTAGAGATCTGTGGATGCCACAATTTGGAAAAGCTAAGGCATGTTCTGGACAGAAAGGGGATGCCCAACCACACTGCCTGAGGATCCGTTGGAGGGATGGAGCAGTCTGAGGCCAGAGAAGATGGGGGGATGATCACTGGCTGCGAGTGGCTCCCAGGCTGTCACGTGGAAGAGGAGAGAGACATTCTGAGCCCTGCCCTGCTTGGCCTTCGAAGGCAGAACTGGAAGCCATGGGTCAAAGTTAGAGGTAGCAGATTCCAGTTCCACACCACTCAGAAACACAAGTTTTTCCTTGTAAGGTAGTGAGTTCCCCATCACCTCAGGGCCCTCCCCTCCAGCCTCCTCCAAATAACCTAATTCAACACTATTACCCATTGTCCTCCAACACTTTTGGGAGGGACCAGCACCAGTCCCATACTGAGCTGGAAACTTCCAAGCCTTTGTTTCCTCACAGAACTCCTAGCATCCCTGTCCTCTACTCTTAGTCTTTATTTGTTGAATTAAACATGGAACTTTGATTTGCATTACATTTCACTTTGTTTTCATTTTCTCATTATTAGAGCCTGGGAAGGACTTTTGGGGAAGAGAGGGGTATAACAGTGGATGATATAACAGAACCTAAAGGAGGAAAGCAGGGGTAATATGGCACCCACAGGGAAAAGCTGGATGATACAATGTAATAGAAATAGGTGTTACAGTGTAACAGAGGAGGCAGAGAGAAAGGCACTGGGTGACACAATGTAACAGAGCTAGGCGATGCAGTGTAGCACAGGAGAAAAAGGTGCTGTGTGTAATACAGTGTAACCTGGAACAAGAAGAAGGGGGCTGGTAACAGAGAACTGATACAGTGTAACACCCAATAGGCCCTGGATCATACAATGTGACAGAGCTAGGAGACCAGGTGTAGCACAGGAGCTGAGGGATAAGACGTCATCCGGGAGTGGGCAGAGCCTAGGTGACACAGTGTAACAGAGGTGATACAGGGTAAGATACAAGGTTAAGAGCTGGGGTGGGGCAGCTGGGTGATTCAATGGCTAGAGCACTTGGCTTAGAGAAAGGACAGACCTGATCTCAAATACAGCATCAGACACTAGCTGTGTAACCCTGGGCAGAGGACTTCACTTCTATTTGCTTCAGTTTATTCCTCTGTAAAATGGGGATAATGATAGCACCTACCTCCCAGGGCTGTTGTGAGTTTCCAACAAGACAATATTTGCAGGCAGCTATGTAAATATTAGTTGTTATTAACACAGAGGAAAGCTGGGCGACAGCAGAACACAAGGGGGTGCAGGGGAATGCAACCAGGAGCTTGCCCCAGAGTAAGCCCTTATCATATGTTTGTTGCTGTGTAAGCCTTTGCTCCTCAATTTCCAAGCTTCCCTTCTGTACAAGCTCATTCCCTTCTTTCTACTAGCACAGGCCCACCTTTAGGAGCCCTCATTACACCCCACTTTTCCCCCAAGCTGTTATCCCATTTCTCTTCCCTTTTTCACAGTCACATTTCTAGGAAATTTATCTTATTTTGGCCTCTACTTTCCCTCTTCTCATTCACTGAAGTCTTCTCAATGTAGTTCAGGGGTGGGGAACCTGCAGCCTCGAGGCCATATGTAGTCCTCTAGGTCCTCAAGTGCGGCCCTTTGACAATCCAAACTTCACAGAACAAAACTCCTTCATAAAAGGATTTGTTCAGTAAAACTGTAAGAAGCTACACTGTAGCTTCTGACCCAGCTGAACGCCCCCTCTCCCATGTTGCCAGTGATCTTTCAATTGCCAAATCGCATCCCCTGCCCTCCTTGTCTCTCCATAGCCCCTGACAGTGCTGACCAGCTCTCCTCCTCAACGCTCTTTCATCCCGAGCTTTCCAGGACCCTGCTCTCTCCTGGCTCCCCTCCACAGGGTCCTTCGGCCTCTTTATTTCATCCCCTGACTAGGGGTGGATCCCAAGGTTCTGTCCTGGACCCTTGCTTCTTCTCCACCTCCACTCTCACTTGGTGATCTCATCAGTGGCCATGGGCTTAAACACCACCTCCATGGCTCTTAGGTCCAGGCTCTGGCCCCCAACGTGAAAAAAGGGCAGGGAGGAGTTCTGAGGTATGGTGATGCTACTTTCCAAATACCCACCAACTTGGATTTCCAGTGGCACTCCGCGTGTATGTGCGTGCGTGCGTGCGTGCATGTGTGTGTGTGCGCGTGTGTGTATAATATGAGGGTCTGCAGTGAGTGGTGTGGATTTCTGTACAAAATGTCTCCGAGGTAAAAAGCCATGGCGTAGTTGGGCGGTGGGGAGACTGACGGTCCGGAGCTGCTCCTGCGGGGATCAGACTCCAGGCCCCCGCCCACCATGGTTCTCAGTCCCTCCTCCCTGCCCTGCCCCCTGCACCTGCCCGCCTCTGTAACCAGGGTGGGGGTGCGGGTCTGAGCAGGAGGAGCCCGCCTGGGGTGGAACGGGGGCCTGGACCCTCCCCTCACTTCCTTCCCAGTAGGTAGCTCCAAGGAGGGGAGCTGTGTTTTACTCCACCCCCCCCCCCCACAGCTGGTCTGTGGTGGGGTAGCCGAAGGGAACCAGGAGGGACCCTTCCCCCCTCTTCTCCAGTCCCCTCCCCTAGCCAGCCCGCTTTCCCCTCCCCTCCTCCCCTCTTGGGGAGCGATAAGGTCTGTTGACTTTGGCTGTGCTGGCCCCAGCGGGCTGGGTAAGAGAGCCCACCCGGTCTCCCGCACTCGAGCCTCCCGCGCACCGCTCTCTCTCCCGGCTTTCCTGCCCAACAGGAGGGGGCCCCGGCGAGTTTCTGGTCTGGTCCCCACCCCCCAGGCCTGGTCAGCTGCCCCCTCCCCTTCGCCTCTCCCCCTCTCTCTTTCCCCTGGGGCGGCTCCTCCCCTCCTCCCCCTCCCCCCCCCTCCGCCTCCGCGGCCCCCTCCAGAAATTAAGGCAGCAGAGCCGGGGCGCCAGACGGCTCGCTACGTGAAGCCTTGTGCAGAGCGGCCAGGCCATGGAGAGCGCGTCAGGGGAGAAGCCTGGGGCAAGGGCGGCTGAGGCGGAGCTCGGGTTCGAGGCTGATGAGGCTCCGGCGGGGCTGCGCGAAGCGGTACGCGCCTTGCGGGCGGACGTGGCGCACTTCCAACACGGCGTGGAGCAGCGAGTGGCCGAGGCGCTGGGGCTGGCGGGGCCCCTGGCGCGCACCGTGGCCGAGCTGCAGAGCGAACACGAGCGGCTGCGGGCTCACCTGGGGCGACTGGCGCGCCACGTGGAGGCGCTGGCACGCGCCACCGGCCTGCCTCTGGACAGCGGGCCTGAGCCCCGGGCCGAGCCGGCGTCCCCCGGACCCCGCGGGCCCCCGCGCTTCGCCAGCCACGCAATGCTCTCGCTGTCGGGCCGTGGCCAGGTGAGTGAGCGACTCCTGGACTGGAGGAAGGCAACGAAACGGGACCGGATGGGCAGGGGAGGGACGGGAGCGAGCTGGAGGGCCCAGTCCCAACGGGGCGCAGTGTGCAGGCGGGGAAAGGAAGGGCCCACGCCGGCCCTGCAAAGTCGGGTCCCTCCTCCTTTTGGGCCTGCTCCAAAAGGGCCTCCTTCTGACCTCCAGCCTCGAATTTGACCCTTTTCTAATCCCAACCTGTTGCTCCTGCTTCCGCCCTGTGGGGCCAGGTGCAGCTCTTCCCGCACTGGCCTGCCTCAGTTTTCCTAGCTTGTTCCATGGCAGGGGAAGGGAAAAGGGAAGGCCGACTTCCAGGCTCTATATCAGAGCCCTCGGGATGTGGTTTGGGCGCTCGGTGTCTTAGCCGGCCCTTCTCTGGCCAAAAGTTTCTGGTTGGACCAGGAGCTGGGCGGGGCTTTGGGATCCTCGCCTGCAGTCACTGTGTTGGGGTCCAGAATCTGGGTCTTTTGGTCCTCGGCAGGCATCGCACGACCTAGCTACTTGCTTGCTGAGGGCTAAATGACAAGGACGAGCAGTGGGACAGCTGTCGGAGGCCAGGCCACGAGTGGCTGGTGACTGACCCCTCTATTTGAGAATGGGATGAGGAAGGTACTTAGTAAACGCTGCATGATCAGCTGGAGAAGACGTGTGTGTGTGTGTGTGTGTGTGTATGTATGTATCAGAGCAGTGGGGGAGGGGGAGCTTGGAAAAGTAAGCCTGGCATGCCAGAGAGGAGGTTGTGTGTGGTGTGTGGTATGTATGTGTGTGTGGATCAGAGCAGTGGGGGAGGGGGCTTGGAGGAGAGCCGGACTGGGGACTGGCCAGTTCTGGGTCCACCTGTCTCTCAGCTTCAAGGGACTGAATCTGTCGGGGAGGTTCCTCCACACCCTCCTTTTCCTGAGGGGGAGAAACTCTTTGGGACCCCGCACTATGATAATGTTGCATGGTGAGGAGGATGGGACCTCCCCTCACTGATTAACCCTGAGACTCCAAGGTTGGAGGCCAGGGGAGGGATGCTCCCCTGTATAGGTGGGTCCAGGTGAGTGATTCAGGTTTGAGAAGGCAGCCAGCCCAGTTCTGAGGCTCTCTGAGTGGCTTAGCAGACCCCCCAGCCAAAGTGTAGAGATGGGTAAGGGGGAGCTCAGGCCGCAGGGGAGCCCAGGTCCTGGTAAGTCTCTTTTGCTCTCGGAGGCTGCCCCCTGGGAGAGTCCTGGGGAGAAAGACAGAACTGAGGCCGAGGGGGCTTTGCGTTCCTCCCTCTCAGCCAGGCTGCCTCAGCTTTTGGAACAGCTTGGCCACAGGCATAGACTGTCCACACATCTAGTTCCCTGATCCTGCCTGTCTTCTGGTCTCTTGGTCACTCTCTCAATTCTTACTTCTCTCTAAGGTGGCTCATACCAGTCTCCCTCTCCCTGCCCCCCCCTTCCTCTTTCCTTCTTCTCTTGGACGCTACCCTCACCACCACCACCCCTCCAATGGCTAAGTCTCAGGGTCTCTGGCTGGTAGATTTGAGGAAGGACCTGACATACTTGAGGAGAGGGCTGGGCTGTGTGGCCTAGGGAAGGAAGCAGGACCCTAGGGTAGGCCTGGGGGTGCCCTGGCTAAGTCACACCCCTCTTCTGAGCTTGTTTGCTATCTACCAACCTGAGGTCAATGTTGCTTGAATTCTCCCTGGGGGGAGGGTGTGTCTCATGGATTCCATAGCAACCTGGGCACTGGCACCACTTGGGGCTGACTCTTCTTCCCACCATCCTCCCGGTCCAGTCTAGCTTGGCACCACCAATGAGGTGGCTCCTAGAAGCAGACTGGAACTTCTCATGGACATCATGTCTTATCTCCTACTATGGCTGTGTATTCTCTGCTGGCACCTGGCACCCCCCGCCCCCAACTCCTTGAACAAAAATAGGCACTGTGCAGACCCTGCCTTCCTGGGGCTTATTGTCCAGTGGAGGAGGGGAAGTGGACAGTGAAGGCCATTGCCCAAGAGGAAGAGCTGGGATTGACTGGTACCTGAGTGGGTGTGTGAAGGCAGGGAGCCACACATGACCCCCTCTCAGACCCAGAGATGGTGTGAGTCGGGCATGGAGATGGCAGTGGCTGTGGGGTGGGCCTGGTGTGAAAGGGCCTTCTGGCCCTGACCATTTGAAAGCCCTCTCCTCCACATGGGGAATGACTGAAGGGTGCTTAATGTGCCTGAGCTCCTGGGGCTAGCGCCTGGGTGCTCTGTCCGCTGAAGTTGTTAGCTTTGCCCTGGGGGGTGGGGGAGGTGAAGTATCTCCTTCAAAAAGTTAATTTGGCCTTGCCTTTTCTGAGGAGGCCATTCACTTTAATTCTGCCTCTCCAGACTTCCTAGTGGGTCCCTGGAGGCTGTGGGTTAGAGGCCATAAAGGAAACAACTCCTGCCCTAGGGGAGTTTATCTGGGTGGGTGGTGGAGAGCATACTTCTCGCCCTTAGAAGCCCATCTGTTAACAATAATTCTAGTAGGGCTATCTGACTGTGTGGGGGTAAGGAGCCCTGTGGGAAGATCCAGATCCCCAGAGGTGAGAGGTGAGGAGGCAGCACCTTTTAGGTGTGGGCTGCTGGCCCGACCCCTGCTGGTGCGAAGAAGAAGAGAAAGGCCAGAAATGGAATGATTGCCTGTGTATTAGCAGGGGAGTACCTTGGGTGGAGACCTGGGGGCCTGGAGACCTCATGGGCTCTCTCACATCTACCCAGCATCATGGTCACGCCTTACTCCTTTGGCCCCAGGGAGGGACTCTCCTGCTTCTCCTCCTGGCCGCCTCTGGCTCTGTTCTTGGATCATAATTCTCTTCTGCCTCTCAAGGTGCAGTCCTGGGTTCTCTTCTCATTCTCTTGCCTCTTCCTTGACTTCAGTCCACTTGTCCCTCTGTACCTCTTCTGTCCTCTGCCCACGTCATGCCAGCCTCATGGATTTATTCCCTTTCCCCATCCCTCCCTGTTCAGTCTCTTTCCTTGCAGCCCCACACAAATGGATTCCCTTGAGAAAACCTTCCCTGATTCATCCCCTCCCCACCCCATCAGTAATGGGCGACCTTCTGCCTTTCAGACCTCACCTGAAAAGGGCTTCTCTTGCATGTGGGTTCTTTCCCCCTGCTCCCTGAGGCCCTCGAGGCAGGGAGCCGGCTTGCCAGAAGTAAACTAGGCTACCTCATCCAATGTGTGAGCAAAGGGGTCAAGAGACATGGGGGGAGAATGTTGCAGAGAGCCAATGCACAGGGCTTGGCAGCAGGGGTGTGGGGAGAGAGCCTGAGGACCTACCCAGAGGACGGGAGATGGCCGGGCCATCCCACAAAGCCGGCCAAGAATTTCCATGGCCATTGGGCAGCAGAAGCTTTGGCATGATGCAGTTGAGGACTCTAGTGTGGTAAAATGGGGGGAAGGCCAGACATCCCCCCCCCAGAGAGGGAAGCGACCAGGATGTAGGAGGGCCAGGAGGAGAGCTGAGACTGAGCTGGGCCCAGGTAAAGCTCTGACGAGGTGAGGAGGGCCAAGCTGGGGAGGGCTGGAGTCCTGGGCACAGGAGAAACAGCTGAAGAAAAGAAGGTGCAGTGGCTGTGATGGTGGGCCTTGTGCGTCTGGAAGGTGGCCTGCTTGTGGGTTTGGAAGAACTCAGAGCACCACCAAGAGGCAGGTTTAGGCTTTAGAGAAGAACCTTGCAGAGCCGCCGTCGTCTCCCGAGCTCTGGTGGAAGCCGTTGTTGGTAGGCTTGAGGTAGGTCTGCACCCTTCCAGCTCTTCTAGGGAGAGAGGTCCTAGAAGAGGCCATTGGAGGTGGGGAGGTGGATGGGGGGAGGGGGTGACTAATAGAGGGCAGTGTGGAGGGGCTCCTAGAAAAGGTAAAGGTGAGTGAGCGCTCAGGAGTTTGGCAGAAAAGGTGAGGTGGGGGATGATGGCTTGCGGAAATAGGTTCCAGTGAAGAGACTCTTTTTAAAGGATGTGGGAGATCCAGTCTGAATAACAAGAGTCCCTCCATTGGTGCCCTTCTGTTTCCCATTCTTCACTGTTCCCCTGCCAGGCCTGAGGGGCCGGAGATCCTGATTCACTGCTGGAGGCCCAGCCTCATGGAGGTGTTGGGGGGCAGGGTCCGTGTGGGGGTGACTCACCCACCTGGCTGACCGGGCTGCCCTCCCCTTCACTGCTCCTCCTGCCCTGCCCCAGGCTGCAGGCCCAGATGCCACCACCCTGGGCAC